ATCATAATATAATAATAGTTATACAATTAAATAATAAACTAAATGCACTAAGATTAAATAAATTAGTGCACTATAATGTCAATCTAATTTTTGGCAATATCATTTCAAATAATTATTGAAAAGAAAAGGTACAAATGGGAACTTATGTGTGTTGGGTGTTGTGCATGTTGTGTGTGTGCGTGTGTGTGGGGGAAACTCATATATATATGAATAAAATAATTTATGTTACTTTCATAAAAAATTAACTATAAATAGGTAGAATGTAACTTCATCGTATTACTGGATGAATATAATCAATTCTGTAAATTTACGATAAAATAAACACTAGGGAATGTAAATTTTAGCACCATTAGCTAGATTTTTGGTGTATTCTAAGAAAATGTTTACATTGTATATTTTTTATAGGAAATTGTAAATTTATATTTATTGTCAATTATTGTGTGCAAAATGAAACTGAAAGGTGCATCTCTGGAACGCAAAATACTGAGTTCTTCCTCATGAAAAGTGATAATATAACAATATATAACCTTAATATATTTGTTTCAAAACATCCATTCTTACCGGTCAAATGCTTACTCCGCTTCTTAGCATTAATCGTACATTAACAACCGCTGTAAGATGCAAACGGCGGGTTGTAATTACAGGAATGGGGGTAATTTGTCCCCTTGGAGTAGGTTTACAGAATGCCTGGCAAGCTCTAATTGATTCTAAATCAGGTATCACCAAGTTAACTAACCCAGATTATGACAAATTACCTTGTAAAGTTGGTAAGAATTTGATAGATCTTTAACTTTTTGTAATAGTTTAAATTATCCTATTTTTTATAATATATAAAATTTAATTATTCTTTGATAGGTGCATTAGTACCAAAAGGAAGTAGTCCTAATGAGTTAAATATAGATTCATATTTTACAAAAAGTGAATTACGCACAATGTGTCCAGCCACTGCTTATGCCTTGATAGCTACACAGGAAGCATTAGATGATGCAAATTGGAAACCAAAAGATGAAATAGATAAACAAGATACAGGAGTAGCTATAGGAATTGGAATGATAGATTTGGTTGATGTATGTACAACATATGAAGCCTTAAAAAAAGGATATAACAAAATTAGTCCTTATTTTGTACCAAGGATATTACCAAATATGGCTGCAGGACAAATTAGTATCAAATATGGGTTTCGTGGACCAAATCATTCTGTATCAACAGCATGTGCAACTGGGGCACATGCAATTGGTATTACTAATTTCAACAAAAACTAAAAATTTTTTTTACATTTACTATAATTAAATAATACATTTAATTTCTAGGTGATGCATTTCGCTTTATTCGGGGTGGAGAAACAAGTGTAATGATATGTGGTGGAGCAGAAGCATGTATCAGTCCTCTTGCTGTAGCTGCTTTTTGTAGACTTAGGGCTTTAAGTACTAACAAAAATGATTTTCCATATGAAGCATCACGACCATTTGATAAAGATAGAGATGGATTTGTCATGGGAGAAGGTTCTGCTATACTAGTATTAGAAGAATTAGATCATGCACTTGAAAGAAAAGCTAGAATATATGCAGAAGTGCTAGGATATGGTTTATCTGGTGATGCAGCACATTTGACTGCACCTAGTGAAGATGGTACTGGTGCTATATTAGCTATGGACAGAGCAGTGAAAGATGCTGGTATAGAAACTGTAGAAATTACTTTTATTAATGCACATGCAACTTCAACTCCCTTGGGTGATGCTATTGAACTAAAAGCAATAGAATCGTTTATGGGACAACATAGTAAAAATGTAACTGTCTCCAGTACAAAAGGTGCTCATGGTCATTTACTAGGAGCAGCAGGAAATTTAGAAGCTGTTTTTACCATTTTAGCAGTAAAAGAAGGTATCATCCCACCAACGTTAAATTTACATAACTTAGATATAAAAACATGCTTAAATTTTACTCCCAATGTAAAAAAACATTGGAATGGGATTTCCAGACGTGTAGCTTTAAAAAATGCCTTTGGTTTTGGAGGAACAAATGCATGCTTATGTTTTGCTCAATATAATGAATGAATTAACCATTAAAGTAGAACTATTCTGAAAAAAACATAATATACAACATAATACAAACTAGTCATTCCTTAATGTACATTAATTAATACATACATTGCATCTAAAAAAACGTGTATAATTTTACTTTTTTTTACAATGAAATAAAATATGGTTCTGTTGAACCATTATTTGAAACTTGAGCTGCAATGCAATGATTTAAATATTGTTAATATTTTTATGTAGCATATAATACAAAACTCATGTAATATATCATACGAAGAAAAAAAAACTTTTATATTATTGTACAGAAAAAAATGTAATTTGGAATAATATAATACATGGTGGAATGTAATATTTATTCTGTATTAATTTTTAATATTTTCCAATTATATCCTTTTTACAACATTCATAGACATTTTGCAGAAAAACAAGTTGAAACTTCTGCTTTCGAAAAAATAAGATTCTCTTAAAAGTATGTAGTAATTAATGAAGTTAACCTTCTATACAATAATTGTTTGCTACGTGCAGTTGCTCGTAATTTGCCATGTTTTTATGGCTAATACATGCTCGTGAAATTTATCGTCCAATTATACAAGCATATACAAATCAGTCCCACTTAACTCCGAACACTGATAGTGCATCAATCTAATACTTTATAATTCTTTGATCCCAGTTTTCAGAGTTAACATTTGACTATATATTCTAGTTTCATTCATTTATAATTACAATTTCATCTACAAATGTCTTTTATTTCTATAAATTCAATTGCATAGAAAACAACAAACTTCAAGGCTTAATAGTTTCCTGGTACCTCTAGTTTATTAGATGCAATTCTTTCCTTACAAATAAACCATACCATATGATGTTCTTACGATGTATATCTTCAACGATATTTTATTCACATAGGAAGGTTGACATCCAATGACAACAGTTATCCGAAATACATCTATTGCACGCATGTTTTTCTATTGGCAGTAAATCAATGTAAAAAAGAAAGATTGTATCCTATTAAGTAACTGTACCTAGTAGGAATTCTTAATTAGGAATGGTAAAGGGCTTGTGATGGCTGCATAAAATAGCAAAACGTTTTCTAAGTGTCTGACGAAGTTCTTGTCGTTCTTCAAGAACTTGGCACATTCGAGATTTAAATTCCAATACTTCCTCTGCTGGAATATAACTTTCTTTCTCTTCGTCGCTTGATAAATAAGAATCCTGGAAATAAACAAATCGTATTAAAAATAAACAAAGAACCTTTCAGTAAAATCTGAGTGATAAACTGTACGCTTACTTCTAACATTTGAGTAAGTGTTAAACCTCCACCTCTTTCCTTTAAGAAAGAGATACTAGAACTGGAATGAACAAGTTTATCAGATGGTCGTGTCAATCGCATGTCCTGCAAATATTTCTCATGGTTACAACATCCATCATTACAAGCTACTTCTGATCCTTCCGGTGTACTAGGAAGAGAAGAACTGCTAATATTATGTTCTGAAGAATAACCACAATCTTGTGACGATTGTTCACTTAAGGAACGGCTTTTTCTCTCTGAGATTGACAATTCAAATCGTTTTTTCATTTCTATCCACATGGTGCATCTTTTACTTGGTTTTCCAATCCAAGCATCTACTATTTCTTTAGTCATTGGATCTTTACAGTCTTCTAGAGTATGCCAGTGATTATTTTCAATCTTCTCAGAAAAATCCTATACATAAGACGATATTTAAATCTTATAACGCACGGTAATAGATATATAAAACATGTATCGATACATGGAGTTATTACCTTACACAATTCACATGTATCGAATAATTCTTCTTCAGAAAGATTCTTAACAGGTGTACTACTCTTTTTTGTCTGATTTATAACAATTTTTGACTTTGTTTCAGAAAAACCCTTTTTAATAGTATTTTTTTGCATATTTGACGATTTTGGGGGGAATGCTAATTGAGTTTGACTTTCTGATTGTGATACACTAGATTTTGATTTTTTTACACAGTAAAATAAATTAATATACATTTTATATATAATTATATATAGAAATACCAGATGTATCTACTTACCTTATGTTGATCTATATTTTGTGTTGTGGGCTTTGAATCCGCACAAACACAAGGTGTATTACTGTTGCCACTTTGTCTTTTGCTCGAACACTAATAGTAAAGTTATATAAGAATATTATATACATTTATCAATTTGTTGAAATCTGAAGTTACAAACAATAACATACATCACATGTATTTTCTTTTTCTTCCGTCTCATATCGACGTTCTTTCTTCTTTTTACGTTTCAAACGTAACTTTTCTCGTCGCTGTTGTTTTGCTATTTCTTCTCTCGTTAACTCCTCATAAAGCAATTCTAATTGAGAAATACCTTGCTTAACTTCTACAGCCATCTGTAAAGGATCATGTAATCATTTACAAATAAATCCACTAATTTAATAACAGTTTGTTAATCTCATTGATCATACTTGAAAATTCCTGGATAATGCATCTACTGCTACAGCAGCTAATACTTTACATACAGTTTCCTCTTCTTTTAAACGTCTATGAACTCTATGCAAACGTTCTGCAACACACATTGCTAAACATGTAAGTACCTCTTCCTGAGCAATTTCTAACGTTTTCGCATGTCGTTCCCTATAATTGAAAAGATTTATTTTACAACAGATTTTTAAAATAAAATTATAAACCATAAAATTTTTGAATTTTGTACCTTCCCATGAGTTCTGGCTGAGTACGTCTCATAAGATTACCCATAGAATATGGATTTGTAGGTATATGTACATGCCTATCATGTATGCATCGTCTGATCCCAGCATATAAAGAGGGCACATAGCCTTTTTGTTTTTCTGGTTCAGGTTCTGTTGTTAACAGAGAAAATGCCAACAATACCTTTGTACGGCATTCACCACAGAACCTGTAATAGTAGATGTGATACAAAACCTTTATATACAAGTATAAATATTTATGAACTTACCGATGTTTACGTAAATATGTATCTAAAGTGGCCTCAAGGGCATCACTTTCTATCAAAGCAAGTTCTAGACGACATGAAGGATTCATACAGTCCCATACTTCTTTCCATGCACTTGGGGGAGGTCTCATACGTTGAATTTCTAAAGAGTGTAATACACATCTTCGTGACTTTTTATTTCTTGGCTGCCCTTCAACTAAACTGTTTAACCTAGCACTACAAAAAATATTAGAATTATTATGTATATATTCAAAAAAGCATATATATTTATGTTATATATTTTATTACCTATGCCCTTGTAACATTGTACAAAGTAACTGTGGTGATTCTAAAACATCATCCTTTATTGATAATAAACCTTCAGGTGTAATCACCAAAGGATCTAATGCTGGATGTCCTGATTTCATAAGGTCATAGAATAATCTTTCAACACTAAATATATAACACATCAATTAATATAAACAATTAACACATTCCTTGTATATATATATTGTTTATTTAAGAATGTTTTATTATACCTTCTTCTACAACCAACACATGGTACAGCTTGGCCTAAAATTGCAAGCATATCCTTGCATGTTACTTCAAATGAAGCTTTAATTTCTTCTTTTGTAAGCATATTAAGTTTTCTGGTAAATTCATCAAGTTCTTTGCCACAAACTAATGGACTATCACAGATTGCTCCCAAATCATGTATATCCATAATCATCTATAGAAAAATATATATTACATTGCTTATATTCATACATGTACTTTTTAAATAAACAATCTAAATGCTTATAAAAGAAATATATTTTCCTAATTTCATAATGCTCCAAATAATTAAGTTACTATACGTACATTGATACATATAATTATGAACCAAGTAAAATCAAATATATTTAAACATATATACAAGACATTTTTTTGTTAAAACTGCATATTTGTATTCATTTTATACTTTATCATATGTGAAATGAAAGTCATTATATCATTTTTATAACTAAATTTATCTTTAAAGTTTTCGTTCCATTTGCTCAATTGTATCTAATCAAAGTATAAAAAAAAAACAAGTCATTTTGACATTCCTTTTTCCCAGAAGAAAACAAGCGGCTTTAAAATTATAGTAATAGCACAAGTGTAAAGGAAAATTGCAAATGTTCATAAAAATTTCAATTGCATTAAGTGCCAACAATCAGCAACTATTAAGCAGGATACAGATATCAAACACAGTACACCTAATTAGTTATGGCATAAGCATGCATTCATTGCCACGTTTAGGTTAAGTCAGAAATATCATAGGATGCCATTACGTAAGTTTCGTTAAGCTTTCAACTTTCGATAGACAGGCACTGTTCTTTAAAAAAATGACAGAAGAAAATCGTGCTCACCGTATGTTTCTCATCGATAATCAACGGCATTTCTCTTCGCTTCAAATCGACCGGGTCATCGTCCCGCCAAACATTCACTAACTTCGCCATCGCTGTTGAATTCCTCTATCAACGACGATTATATATGCAGCGATGTTCAATCTTGTAAAACGTTACGATGCACAATCACGAATAATTATAATTCACTGCCACAGTTACACCAGAAAAATAAGTAGACGGTATCATACGTCTGCCATTTGCAACGAGTGGTTTCTCACTTCCGCCCTGCGTGCATTGTCCCGCTTCCCTCTCTACGCGTCATCTTATCCTTATTCTAAAGTAAAGGAGAGACCATATGTATTGGCCGTTCAAGGACACTTCTTTGTCGGCGTTTTTATCTAATCAAAATTCTTTCTTAATAAATCTTGCATATGTAGCAATTTTTCGGATAAAAATCATAAGCTTATGAACGGCACTTCTAAATTTTAGGTGTATCTATTATTGTAATATATTCTTCGTTTTTTTGTTTACGACAATATGCCCTCTTCGTCTTTTCTCTTACTAGTGATTCCTTTACCTACTTCCTATGGTATAGCATAGTAGGGCTTAATACTAAATGACCTTGAACGGCCAATTCTTATGGTCTCTACTTTAAATCCACATACCTGTTTCTAATCTCTTTTCTTGTAGTGTTTTGTTTGGTCCAAAGTTCTATAATACAATTTACTTGTACTATTACCTAAACATTTTAATACGACTAACAACGTTCTGATTAAGCGTGGAATTTTCTTAAAGTGATTTAATACACTCATTCAATACGTAGAAAATCATTTGAAATACAATCAACAAACGTACATTTAAATGCTTGCGTAATAAAGTATACGTACATCTATGTACGCATGCTTTCATGAAACTGGCCTACTATTGTACAATGCTAAATTATTATTAGAATAAAAAATGTTTAACACATCAAAAAATATTTATACAGCCCGCCCATTCATTTGAGGACATCTACTACTGACGTATCATAGTCATGACCTAACAGTAACAAGAAAACGCTCCAAAAATACACTTAGGTTTCTTCATGTATTACATCTTTTGTTCGTTTTTCCTTTACAAAAAATTCTATAAAAATATATTACAATGTACTTTGAAACTTCGCTACATGAAAACAAAATTAAACAATTTTACTAATTTCTTAATTCCTTATTTTCGCAATTATTAAATGTTTTATTTACGGCGTATATAATATCTATATTCTAAATATAATTAATTTAATATCAAATTTATTTAAATTTTCGTTAACGAAATTATGTTTTCTAAGTATGTTTGGTTATTCGCATTATTCGTATGTATGAATTTATTGTACACAAACTATGAAATAAATGATATCAAATTTAATTTTGTGGACAAATGGTTAAACATTATTAAAAATATTTACTCTAATCTGAATAGAAACTCAAATTTAGAATCAAACGTATGCACAAATCAAAAAGTGTTTACATCAAATGAGCTTAAGAAATACACAAACTTGAAAGATGGTTTATACATTTCAATATTAGGTCAAGTTTTTGATGTTACAAAGGGTGCAAAACATTATGGTCCTGGTGCAAATTATCATGTATTTACTGGTATAATTTATGATGGAATTATATTTATCATTTTATTGTTAACATATATAACACAGATATGGATATGCATTAATGTAATTGTAGGTCGTGATGCATCTTTAGCTTTTATTACGGGAGAATTTGATGATAAAGGCTTAACAGATGACATCTCTTCATTATCTATAGAGGAAGTTAAAGCATTGAATCAATGGGTCCAATTTTATAATGAAAATTATATTTGTAAAGGTATTTAAAATATCTTGAGCAGAAAAATCTACTTTATTAGTAATCACTAATGAATATTCTGGTTTACATAGGAAAATTAAATGGTAGATATTACAATGAAGATGGTGCTCCAACAAAAGAATCTCATGATGTACAAAAAATGTTAATACATGCAAAAGAGAAACAATTTCAAGATGAACATACAAAAAAAATGTTTCCACCATGTAATGTAGAATGGAAGCCAGACTCTGGAACTGTAGTATGGTGCTCTAAAAGAAGGTGAGTATAATGTATAAAAATATTTAGTTTGACTGGAATTATTATATACTTTTCTTTCTCAGTGGAGGAATAGAAAGAGATTGGATTGGAGTGCCTAGAATGTTATTTGAATCTCCAAATTCTAAACAATACAGATGTGCATGTGTCAAACTTGATAGCAAAGAATATAAAGAAACAAAGGGCATGCTCAAAGAGTATTCTCAATGTCCAAAGACCGCAATAAAATGTGCTGTGAAAATAGAAAATTTATCATCTTAAAATATTATCATCTTTCATACCTATGAGACTATGTACACTTTTTTTAATTAAAAATCAATGAATTTTTATATATTTTGATAACTGTTTGTCTTTTTTAAATAACACCTATTTTAAAAGTTTTTAGAACCTTATTCAACTAAAAATGCAATTATTTATGATGCTAAAAAGTATATCAAAAATGAAATGTTGAATATATATGTAGACACTATCTATTATATAAATGTAATACAATATAAATGCACTAAAGAATAATATGATTGAATAAATATGTACATACTTTTATAATGAAGTTCACAAATTACATTAATCGTATGATAATTTTATACATAAGTTTTAATATTATTTAAATATAAAAGTTTTTGTCAAAGAATATGTAATATTTTTGATAAGTTATTTTTTTACCATACAAGTACATATCTAAATACCCGTTTACGAAACATAAAATAATGCTCTTCCATGTCTTTTCTTGATGATGATGAATATTAACAATATGTAAAACAAAAGAAAACTTCTTTTATTTCATAATTCATATGTTGCTATTGTATGTACCTCCTTTATAATACTTTCAATAATCATATAAAAGTTTGCAAAATGGTATTATAAATGAAGCATAAAGTATCATTAGGAAAGAGATACTTTCTTTGAAGAGTGTTCTGCTTTAATTATAAAAAAATTAATGTTTTATATCTCAATATTTTTACATTTTTTCACTTTACTTCACTGTCAATTTTTGTAGGTGATTCTGCTCTAATACCACTTAATTTATCTAGCAATGTCTGCATAGATGCACATCTTCGTTTGAAATTAATCTTTGATCCATATACCTTTTTAATTCTAGCTCTTCTTTTCTTTAACTTAGAATCTGAAGGATTTTCTTGGAACTGTATCATACGCTTATACCTCTTTGCACTCATATATGTGGTACACTCATTTATATCTTCTTTTTCTTCATAAATTGTTTCTAAAGTATTTAATTTTCTTTTTAAATTTCTATTCAAGTAATATTCTTGACCTTTAACTTCTACTTCTTTTCCTTTTCTTCTTGTACTATCATTTTCCATTTCTGTACATGTCCTTTTTCTTGGTCGTAAACTGCATCTAGTGACACATGCAAGTAGGTTACACAAAATAATTAATATTCACTTATGAAAACTATAACACAATAATACAAATACTGTTATACCTTCTATTAAGATTCTCGTTAGAGTCATCCTTAACTAATCTTCTGAGTACTCTTCTCTTTTCTGGAACTGGTAAATTTGTATTTACCGTAAGCATTTCTAAACTAGCTGTTACTGCAGGTAAACTGGTATCAACTACATCAGGTGTTTTTCTAAAAAATATTATTTACATTGACAATGAAGTAAAGTTTTTGTAAATTATATTTAAGTATTTTATAGACAAAATTTACAAAATGAGTTTGCTAATAATTAAAGCTAGAAATAAGCATTGTTAAAATATATGATAAACAAGTATACATATTTATATGTAAATAAAAGTTTTACGAATACTGTTTCTGAAGAAACTTACATTGTTTCGGATTGTGTATCGTCCATTTGTAAAATATAAATATTTACTTATTTTTAAATTACTTAAAACATCATTCACTTGCAATCATAATTAATAATATACATTAAAACCATTGGTTAGAAGAATTTCAGCAGTATAAAATATTTAGCATATTCATGTATACTCTAAATCTTCAATATTAGGAACGTTAAGAAATGTTGTCAAGAATTGATCTTGAGGCACATCTACTATCCTTTCGAAGTTTGAACTTAATTCTTTATTTACAGTAGTATAAGTTGCATAAACATGCATCGTATATAGTTTTTGTTTATCTCCATTATATCGTAGAAAAGCACTTGAAAATAACACCTTTCTGACAAAAGAAAAAAACTATTAACTATAAATTGTTAATGCTTTACAATCATTGGTTCCTTTCACTTGCATTAATCTCAGTTTACACTGCCAAACGTAAATTCCAAAAGTAATACTGCTTTCTTGAGTAAAATCCTTAATTTCTTCTAACCAATAACTATACAGAAAGAATGTCCTGAGTTCATATACGTTTCTATTGTACCTACATGAAGAGACTGCTTTAACTGTATTAAAATGTCAAAAATATTTAGGTACGAAATTAAATTTCACAAAATATACAAATAAATATAACTTATTGATAAAAAACAGTAGAATCATATAAATGGAATCATGAAGAAAGAAAGAACGGCCGATAATAGCCGACCATATAAATTATAAGTATATACAACAGTTTCATACTGTAAACAAAAGTTATTAATTATAATTCATATTTCAACAAATAAAGTTTTATGTAACTTTAGTAGTTTGTTTCAATAATTAATTTTAAAATATCTGCAAACAAATTTGTCAACATATCATTTAAACTTATTTTTATATTATTGTATTAAGGTTATGTTTACAAAATTTTATATCAGTAACTTTTACAATTTTATGACATTAACTTGTAACTTCTTTGCAATAATAAAAAAGTTTATTTAATTTTTGTCTTATTTATTAATTGTAGTAATCATTACTTAATGTTTCCTTTTCATTATACGGCTCATCAAATATTGAGCCTCACAGGTATAAGTTTCCAAAGGAAGAGTATTATTGTAAGTACTATAAATGTTGTTAATAAAAACTTTTTCCAATCTGTATTTATAAATATCTATTTTCTATGCAGGGATTTGTAGAATTAACAATTGTTCCTCTCAGAGATACATTAAGACTTGTGAAACTGAATGCAAAGCAATGCAGAATTTATAGAGTATGTTTAAATGACATTTATGAAGCACCATTTCAGTACTTTGATCCGTTTTTAGATATTTGCCAAGGAGATGGCAAGCAGTAAGAGTTTGAATACAGTTATATACAATATTTTTATATAACAAAAGCTTAATTAAAATAATTCTTGTGGCATTTTTTAGGCGATCATTGGATTTTTTTTCAAACATGCATTTAGCAGCTGCACAAAGGGTTGATCCTGACAATAATGCTGGAGAACTAGTTGTACAAATTCCACCAGATGCAGCACATTTAGTTGCTGAAGGTAGAAGTTTAAGAATTAGTATTGAATTTTCTTTAGAGCAACCTCAAGGTGGAGTACACTTTGTTGTACCAAATTGTGAAGGAACATTAGCAGAGGTACAGCATATTTGTTGTATATAAAAATTAGCTTTAACTGTATTAGTATACAATTGAATCTTTTTCTTTTCTAGAGAGGTGCACATATGTATACATATAGTTATGAAAATTCTTCAAGATTATGGTTCCCATGTGTTGATAGTTTTGCTGAACCATGTACTTGGAAATTAGAATTTACTGTTGATGACTCTATGACAGCTGTATCTTGTGGTGATCTTGTAGAAGTTGTATATACTCCAGATATGCGCAGAAAAACTTTTCACTATGTTCTGAATACACCAGCATGTTCACCAAATATTGCACTTGCAGTTGGGTAAGTTATTTATGTTTTATTTATAATAAATAACTTTTTATGAATATGTAAAATATAATTACTATTGTTCTATTTCAGACCATTTGAAATATTTGTGGACCCATACATGCATGAAGTCACACATTTTTGTTTACCTCAATTGTTACCATCATTGAAAGTTTCTGCAAAATATATGCATGAAGCATTTGAATTTTATGAAGAAACATTGTCAAATAGATATCCTTATTCTTGTTATAAACAAGTCTTTGTAGATGAACTAGATGAAGATATAAATGCATATGCAACTATGAGTATTTTAAAGTAAGGGATTGTATTAATTAATTTTAATATTAAGCAACTGTATAACATCAAGCAATTAAATAATTGTTTATTTATAGTACAAATTTATTACATTCAACTGCAATTATTGATCAAGTTTATGTTACAAAGAAAGCTATGGCACAAGCTGTTGCAGAACAATTTTTTGGTTGTTTTATATCCATGCAAAATTGGTCTGATACATGGTTACCTAAAGGTATTTCAACATATTTAACTGGTTTGTATGCAAAAAAATGTTTTGGAAATAATGAGTACAGGCAATGGGTACAATCGGTAAATAAATCCTTCTTATACCTATTTATTAGTATAATTTTGTAAAACTTTGATACTACTAATACTTTTAGGAACTGCAAGAAGTTGTAAAATATGAGGAGCAATTTGGCGGCATAATATTAGATCCTTCTCAACCACCAGCTCCACTACCTATTGCTGCTAATACACCAGCTCCCACACCCAGAGCTCCAGATCCTGGGTTTTATTTTCCAATAAGAAATTTACACACTGTGTCCCCAAAATATATTGAAGTGCTTCGTAAAAAAGCACATTTAGTTATTAGAATGTTAGAACATCGAATTGGACAAGAATTACTTTTACAGGTACATATTTGAATAGGTGCTACATAATTCTTACTTTATTTTCACCAAGTAACTCTAAATATATTTGATTGCCTTCTAGGTTTTTAATAAGCAATTATCTCTTGCTGCTAATGCTGCACAACAAAAAATTGATTCTGGACTTTGGTCCCATATGTTAATTAGTACCAATGTATTTACAAAAGCAATTTTTACTGTAACTGGTAAAGATATGGCAGTTTTTATAGACCAATGGGTTAGAACTGGTGGACATGCGAAATTTAGTTTAAGTTTTGTATTTAATAGGAAAAGGTACTTAAATTAGTAATTTTAAAATAAACATTTATTTTATAATGTAACTGAAATTTATCGCAAATGTGTTGTACAGAAATACTGTAGAATTAGAAATTCGGCAAGATACTACAAACCAAAGAGGAATTAGGAAATACGTTGGTCCACTTCTAGTTAATATTCAAGAATTAGATGGTACTTTTAAACACACTTTACAAATAGAAGGTACTGTAGCAAAAGCAGATATAACATGCCATAGTAAAAGCCGTAGGAATAAAAAGAAAAAGATTCCACTATGTACTGGAGAAGAAGTAGATATGGACCTTTCTGCTATGGAGTGAGCATTATTATAATGCATTATAAATTATAATTTTATTGAAACTATTCTTTCCCGTATTTTGAAGCTAAAAAGTATATCTATGAAACATAATAACTAAATGAAAAAGTTTTTATATACAAACTTATATTTCATTTGCAGTGATTCTCCTGTATTATGGATAAGATTAGATCCTGATATGACACTTCTACGTGCCGTTCAAATTGAACAACCTGATTATCAGTGGCAATATCAGTTAAGACACGAAAGAGATGTTACAGCCCAATTAGAAGCTATTGAAGCTTTACAAAACCATGCAACGCCCGCTACACGACTAGCATTAACTGATACTATAGAAAATGAACATTGTTATTACAAAGTTAGATTGCGAGCTGCCCATTGTTTAACCAAGGTTATTTGTATTTCGAATATTTATACTTCAAAGTTATTTATTTACATATAGTCTCCTTATAACAGATGCATTTATACAGGTAGCAAATGCAATGGTTGCAACATGGGCTGGCCCACCAGCAATGTTAGCTATATTTCGGAAATTATTTGGATCAGCTTCGTGTAGACGAATAATTAAACAAAACAACTTTTCAAACTTTCAACATTATTTTTTGCAAAAGGTACAAATAATATTTTCCGAAATGAGCAAACAATTATTTTGTGTTGTAAGTTCTTGCCAGTTTCTCTTTTCTATGATTTTAGACTATACCTGTGGCGATGGCAGGTTTACGTAACGCTCATGGTATATGCCCACCAGAAGTTTTAGCTTTTTTAATGGATTTATTTAAATATAATGATAACAGTAAAAATAGATATTCGGATAATTATTATAGAGCGGCCTTAATTGAAGCTCTTGGAGCTACTGTTACACCTGTAATTAGTATTCAACAAGGGTATGATAAATATTGAAAGAAACAATTTCATTACGCTATACTATCATGATTACACATTGATGATTTTTTCTAGGACAGCTATTACTGCCGAATCTCTGTCGGTCGATACTAAAGCTATATTAGAGGAAGTTACAAGAAATTTAAATTTGGAAAAATTATTACCATGTTATAAGTACACTGTTAGTGTTGCCTGTCTTAGGGTCATACGAATTTTACAAAAGTTTGGACACCTTCCAAGCAATCCTCACCTTTTCAGAGCATATGCTGGATATGGGCAATTCATAGGTATATAAGATATTTTATATTAGCCATATTAATAATATCGATATTCATACATTCCTATCATAATCGGTTTAGATGTGAGAATTGCAGCATTAAAGGCATTAGTTGATTTTACAAGAGTCGATGGAAAATGGGAAGATTTAGAATTTTTGTTAGATATGATAGAAATGGATCCTCATCCAGGAGTACGGCATAGATTAGTGAGACTTATGGTTGAAAATCCACCGTTTGAAAGAGCACATAAGCATCGTTTGGATCGTCCTGAATTAGTCGACCGTATATGGAATTTAATTAAGTATGTTTAAATTTAGCTGCCATTTATTTCAGACGTCGTAAAAAGGATAAATATAAACTTATTGTTATTGTTACAGTGGTATGCTTTCTCACGACCCTAAAATTCGGTGTGATTTAGTCGATTTGTACTACACTTTGTATGGTTCAAAACGTCCACTTTGTCTTCCTATTCCTGAACTTGCTGCTATTACTAAACCAAAAAAAGCAGGACCACCAAGCCCAGAACAAGATGTAAGTCATAATTATAGAGGCTCTAGTTTAGACAGTAACAATATGAATTATATTTACTTCAGATGAAACTAAATATGTCGCACATAAGACATGAATCATCGGTTGTGGAAATTGAGAATGCAAGTGGCACAGGGAAAAGAAAATCTCCCAGTAGAGATATTCCAGGTCCGTCTAATTCAGTAGATTATGGTCCGGAAGCAAAACGACAAAAACAGGTAATTAGTAAAATGTATTAGTTAACAAGAAAAATAAGCACAATTATAAAACCATAACTGTTCGTTGTATTTCTATATTAAAAAAGGATGAGCGATCGTCTTCCGTCACCGGTGAAGGAAAAGTGAAATCAGAATATTATAGCGATAATTCTGCATCATTGCCTGGTATTATGGGAACGCCAGGACCCGTAGGGTTTGAACCAGGAATGTTTAAAAAAGAAGGAGGAGAAGATCATAAACTATATTTATTATACAATATATTTCACAGAATAAGAAAAAGAAAAAAGACAAAAAGAAACATAAACACAAACATAAACATAAACATGATCATAAGCATGGTAAAGATAAAGAGAAGAAAGATAAAGATAAAGACAAAATTAAAGAAAAAGAAAAGGAAAAAGAAAAGGATAAAACTAAAGATTCTTCAAATTTAAAGGTCAAAGAAGAAACTTTAAGCTCTGCAAGTTCCAGTCTTAGTCCAGATGCAACAACTGTTACTAACGAATTTATTTTTCCATAGTAAAACATCAAGTCACTTATCATAGTCTTTTAAGGCTAGCATTGTTTATATCTTATATAATTTTATATAATTTAAGACACATTCTAATGCATCATGAATCAAAACGTTGATTATCGACATATGTAAATACACTTTTTTAAATATATTATACAAAATATATTTTCATTTATTTTGTTAAATAAAATAAATAAAATGAGAACTGTTGTTTTTTTATGTCTTACTCAGTCTTACTATGTTTTACTAATGAATTAACAATTTTTTAATGTGAAAAATTATATTTCTACTTAAAAAAAAACAAAGAAAAAATTAAATGCAATTTATTTAAGTTTATTCATAAGTGTGAAAAATGTATTCCCAAGAAAAATAAACATACTTTTAGTTTACTTACTATTTAATAGCATTTTAAATAAATTTATATTTTGATAATGAAGCGATAATAATCTTTTATAAGCACGTAACTTTTTAACGTTATATCGACACTAGAGACGCGCTCATATTTAAATACTTCTACGCATTAACTAGGATGGCGTCCGTGGTGTTGCGGCAATTTCGAAGGGAATAGTGAGTTTTGAAAATTTTGACAACGACCTCGAGAATGGCAGATAATCAACAAAGTAGATTTGAAAAGTCTCTTGGTCTGTTAACTACGCGTTTCGTTACTTTATTGCAGAAAGCAAAGGACGGAGTTCTTGATTTAAAAGTAGTAAGTGTTTACATAAATATTCGATTGTAAAAAGTTAACCTACTTGCTAGGTTAAGTTGTCGCGGGCGTACACGCCATTTCTAGCTTGCGGGAATTTTGAAATAAGTATCACTGAAGTCAATATTTCACATTTTTTTACAATATTCGTTTAAGAAGATTACTTTTACTCAGTCAACTATTCCAATTTAACGTTACACAATCAGTATGTAGCATGTTTTGATATCTCAACGTGCTATCCTACATAACCTAAAAAATAGAACGATAACTGTTGACTGTACTTGATAACGTACGATAGTAAATTTATGATATTTTAGGCTGCTGATATCTTAGAAGTCCGTCAAAAAAGGCGAATTTATGATATTACTAACGTCCTTGAAGGTATTGGACTCATTGAAAAAAAAAGCAAAAATAGTATCCAATGGAAGTATGTTTTCCTTGTATTCCTCATTTGTAAAATATTTTGTATACTTTCTTGTACTATTTACATTAAATTGTCTATTTCTCATATAATGTAATGTTTTAAATATATTACCAGAGGAGCAGGTCCAGGTTGTAACACTCAAGAAGTTGGTGAAAAATTGACTGATTTAAAAGATGAAATAAGAAAATTAGAAGATCATGAACAACTATTAGATATGCATACCCAATGGATTCAACAAAGTATAAAAAATATAGAAAATGATTTGATTAATAGAAAATATGCATATATCACATATGAAGATGTTAAAGAAAATTTTCCAGATGATTTTGTATTAGGAATTCAAGCTCCTCCTGATACAGAATTAAGCGTGCCAAATATAATGCAGGTATTATTTTTGCTCAGAAACGTTTATGTTTATAGAATTTTAAATAAATTAAGTTAAATACATTTTATGATATATTTATATTTCTAGAGTTCTGAAGATGAAGACAAAGAAATCAATTATGAAATGTTTTTAAAAAGTAGTTCAGGAGAAATAAAGGTATATATGATACAACCAGAACTAGCTAAAACATATGATAATAAAATACTAGAAATGAGATTACAAGAAGAAGCAAAAGGTACAAAAAGGGGAAAAGAGGAAGAAGAGAAAAAGGAGGAAACTAATGTTAAACCAAAGAGAAGAGTTGGAAGGTAAACACAAATTTATAGATGAGAAAGAACTTGCTCTGTTCGCATCAAAAATAGTAAAACAATATTTTTGACCTGCATAGAGCACACAGTAATATGATCTTGAAAGGGGTAAATAGATTTGAAGGAAAAATCTTTTCTTTTGGGATAGATCATACAATATCTTAATTTGAAAGTAATTTACATTAATATTTACACACTTTGGTATTTTGCATGTTATTACATTTTATATGAATTTGTTATAACTTCACGAATTAGAACACTGGATGGCGGAAATACGAATTTATTTATTTAATTCAATGATTTATGTATTTCTTATAATTGAAGTAGTAACATACAAAAAAGCAAGGTGCCTGAATATTAATATGAGTTACTGTATTTTATTACACTATTATCATAATAAATTAGTTAAAAATATTTATGATTTAATTATATGGTTTATTCTAAATTTTAGACCTCCAAAAGGAGCTAGTAAACCTGATCCTATAATATCTGATGAAGATGAAGAAGATGATACAGAATTAATAGAAGCAAAAATAGTACTTCGAGATGTTAGCACATCAGGTAAAGAACACAAATTGTTAAAGTATAGTACATAACATTTTATTGAATTAAATATTATAATTTCAGATATTGCTCAAAAAGATTTAGAATTGTTTGATCAAATTTATTCTGACAGTAAGTAATACAATGATGACATTAAAATACATAAAATACATACTAGTAAATACATAATTTTTTTCATTTTACTTGCAGTTTATGGACCATTAGTAAGACTAAGTCCACCACCCAGTGAAAAAGATTATCATTTCAATCTTAGTGAAAATGAAGGAATTTGTGACTTGTTTGATATTACAGCGAAATGAGTAACAAGTTGTATGGTTTAAATGGTTGGATGATTTATAAATCAGACTGTGCCAATACTGTGCAAAATCACAAAAATTTGTTGACAATTTCTGAAGGCTGTTCTATGTATATAATTTTAAAGAATGGATATGGATAATGATCATTGAATACATGCAGTATTTTTTTATTAGTAGAAATAAAAAAATAATACAGAATTATAGAAGAAATGTTTATAACAGTCAATTTTGTTGGATTTTTATTTGATGAAGTAATAAGAACCCTAAATTTTGACATTATTTGTAATTTATGACATGTGATTTATTTCTCTAGGTTTGCTTAGAAACTTTATCCTTGTATGCACACACAACAGAAAGATTTTTTTATTTATGGTGATTGCATATAAGGAAACTATTAAAGAAATAAATATTTTTATGAATAACGTTATAATCAAAGTAGCATTGTTTTTATAAACTTTGTATATGTTTCATTAAACTACGTAATCTTTTTACGTATTTGTTTAGATAAGAATTGTTCAAAAGACAATATTAAATGTACATTCTGTATAATTGTATGAGTTTAATCTTTTAAAGCATGTATAGCATCGCCATGATTTAATATTGCAGATGAGTACAGAAAACTTGTATTTCTTTTATAATGTACTTTCTATGTTGTATGTTGTATGTTTGTTACTGCATTCAATGACACTAATTAAGTTTGTGAATATTATAGTTATTTAAGCAAAATAAACTTAAATGAAAACAAGGTACAAGCAAAGAGACCAAGAAATTACAGTTTACTTAATCATAAAGTCATGTTTCATCATTGTTATATATGCTATATAATTATAAAAGAAATTTTTAATTAATAAACGTTTTATTTCAAACCTTTTTATGTTCTTTCTAAACTACATTCATTAAACTTTTTTTCTATACCTTATTTTAATTTCACTGACGTCAAACATTCCAAAATTGTTTTGCTTTCATTACGTGCTGTTGTCGACATCATCTGTTAGTACGTAACCAAAAGTCGATGTGTAATCACTTGCATGATATATCAAACTATCGGAAAACTGTACTCGAAAGTCGCGAAATTACCAAGGACAGATAAGAATGGATCGACCAGTTTCGTCACCATTGGTACTTTTGCGCGTGTCGAATATATGCTTCGTCTCAGTCATTGCCAGTATGCGCGTGTTTCCGTAGTAGTGAATCATTTCCAGATGTGTCAACCTTACGAGACCGTTGTTTCATACAAATTCGCGGTGCAGCGAGTTTCCTCGCGTCACGTTCAAAACAAACCGCGGTAATATTATCAACGTTTCAATCACTTATCAAGACAAGGTATGAAGCAAAAAAGAATATGGGAATGAAAAAATTATTTTTTATATTCTTTATATGTGTTACATTATTCTAACTTTTTAGTGACTTTATCACTTCCGACAGCTTATCAATATATTTAAAACAGTAAACGTAATGATAAAACCGATGACAACCTAGTTGACATAGCTTTTTGGGAAGCTTTTTGTAACTGCATGTATATACGTAGAAAAAATATCTTCTCTATTTCTGAAACATTGATTGCACGCGCTCTCTTGTTTGGCGCGCAGCATCGTTTGCTTTGAATTAATTTGTCACGTGCCGTCAACAAAGAAAATATGAAATTTATAAGATTTTTCGGAACAAACTAATACGAATATAAATTGCATAATGACGTAGTATATGCATTAATACAAATCAATTTTAAATAACACCCTATTTTAATTTTTCATTTAATCATTTAAATTTAAAGTTTACTTAATTTATGTATACGTCGTTGCTTAGCTTTAATTATTATTTATAATAAAAATGAATTTGTAATGTTATACTGTATTCATAATTAAAATTGTCTTTATTTCAGTGACGGCCGTGAAAATGCGTATTATTTTTGTAAAATTTCGCGAACTGTCGCAAAAATATCCAATTGTAAGGGGAATGGCTTCTTATTCTATTATATGGCCAACAGGAAGTTTAATACAACAAAAATTATTAGGACAAGACGAATTAAATTATCTACAAGCATTAAGATTTAGTTTATATGGTGGATTTTTTGTAGCTCCAACACTGTATTGCTGGTTAAGGTCTTCTTCATACTTTTGGCCAAAGTCAGACCTGAAGTCTGCAATTACCAAAGTATATTAAAATGAATTAAAACAATTACTATTTGCAAATAATAATATTAACTATTAATAATATTTATTTTACAGGCTTTAATAGAACAAGTAACATACAGCCCTGCAGCAATGTGTTGTTTCTTTTTTGGCATGAACTTGCTTGAAATGAAACCTATAGCTGAGTGTGTAGAAGAAGTTAAACGAAAATTCTGGCCTACTTATAAAGTAGAATTGTTAAATATATATTTAATAAACATAAAATACACTTACATTATAAAGAACAAAAAGATTGAAAGTAATAATTATTTTTCAGGTTGGTGTTTGTGTGTGGCCTGTTCTACAGACAATCAACTTTTTTCTTGTCCCAGAACATAATCGTGTAGTTTATGTAAGTTTTTGTAGTTTAATTTGGACCTCTTTTCTTGCATATATGAAAGCTCTGGAAGCTCAGAACAAACAAAATCGATTAACAAAAGACAATAATATAAAACACAAGGGTGATTTTGTAAGTAATGTTAATACTGAACCTGTTAGTCAGGTAGAAGATAAAAGTAAAAGGTTACCTGTTTTACGATGAAATTTTATATAAAAATTGTT